GAAGGTTTAGCAAATGTTGAATTTGGTAATTGTTTGATAAGATTTTGCATGATAAATACCGACGTGTCAAAAACGTAGTTGTCGTCCATTGATGAGCATGTTAAGTGAAGTACTCCTTTACAGCTATTAGGTTTAACACCAACCCCATAAATACTACCTTTGCAGTTTCGTCTAGGAAGTGCTAGTCGCTGGGCCGCATTCTCAGATATTATTGAGACTTGCGAACCCTGATCAATAAGTGTGCGCATTATTTTATAAGTACCATCTGCGGCCCGCACCTTGAGCATCGCTGTCGCTAATAAAATTTCTGTCATATCGTTGTTTTGTTGAGTAACGTTGGAGTTACTTATGCTGACACGATTATTTTCCACTTCTGACGACATCGACGACTTGTTTTTCACATTCGCATTGTTTTGCGGCTTGTTTGAATATGACCGGAAGGCGTCATGTAACATAGTGTTATGATTTTCGTTGCATTCACGACACCGCTTCTCTGAAAGGCATGCTTTACCTTGATGATTAAAAAGACAATTTTGGCAAACATTTAATTTTGTTACTGTTTTACGTCTTGTTTGTGGAGACATGTCCAAAAATTCTTGACAAAAGAATAGTCCATGATCCTTACTGCAGAGTGGGCATGTATATGTTATGAAATTCTTGTTTTTAACAGCTTGTAAGTTAGGTGACGCAGAACCCCTCGACGAGATGTTGGATGGATGCTGGGTTGTTACTCGATTACTGGCGTATGATTGTTTGAAATAATTCGATTTCGAAGTTTTCGGATAGAGATTTTGATTACTTGGAATGTGTGATTTTTGATGAGTGTTGTCTTGTTTTCTACGTCCAGACTCCATCGACGTAAATGTTTGTTCCAAAAACTTGAGAAATTCTTGTAATTTTGGCAGTTCCCGGGGACATTTCAAAGATTGAACATAATCATGATGAGTTTCGTTATCGAGTTTTTGAGTCAACAGGTAAACAATAATCGGATCCCAGGTGCTTATGTCAATTGCTAGGTTTTTTATTGCATTTAAGCATTCCTGCGTAGTGTCGTGAATTTTCTTGATGTTGGTCACTGATGCTTGATGGGGAACTGGCAAACTCATTAATATGTTCATGTGAGAAGTGAATATAAGTTTCGGGTTATTGTATCGGTTGTTTAAAATGTCCCAACAGATAATATAATTATCCGAGCTGATCTGTAGGTGTGGTATCAGCCGCTCCGCCTCTCCCCTGACCTTGCTCTTTAAAAACTGCATTTTTTGAGCACTGGAAAGGGAGCGATTGTTATGAATGCATTCCGTAAATAGATCTTTGAACGGAACCCATTGGTGATAATTCCCGTTGAAGATAGGAATATCAAGCTTTGGTGTAAATTGTTCCTGATGAGCTGTTGACCATATTTTCTTGTTGATTGCCTTCTTTATGTCACTAAAGCTTCTCTCATGGACGGAAAATTCTTGTTCGTATGCTACGTTAGTACCCTCCAGCTCGCTGTCGAGCTCCCAATGAAGGGAGTCGATACGGTTCCATCTAACACTCAAGGTCTTCAGAGCATCTTCTAATTCCCAGTTATCGGTTAACAAATCCAAGTCAATGTTTGCTAACGTTCGCTTAAAAGCTCTAAAATTGCTACTTTGCTTACGCAACATCTCATCCAGCTTGCTGTTAATACTGCGGTCCACCTGTCGCGGTGTTGCTGACGACGTTGATGGCGGGGGGTTGAAATTTGATGGTTTTATGATCGGAGTAGAGGGTCTTGATTTGTCTTCAGTTGGTAAGAAACTTTGTATGTAGTCTTTTGTTTTTGTATAAAAATCAAGAACTTGTCCGTATTGATTCTGTACAATGTAGGAATGGTTTTCATCACACAACTCACGTACCTGGAGGTGAAGGTTGTGAAATTCCTGCCAGTAAGTATCCAAAGTCTCCAGTCGTTTTTTGATATGAGCAGCAGTCCTACGGTCGGCGCCGTCCTTTTTGAAGTTGCTGAGCAGCTGCTCCATACCAGAAACCATCTGTTGTTGATTTGCTTGTAAATCTTCCATGATGTTGTTGTTGATAGGTATTCGCTAAGTGTTAAGTGAACTGATCGCTTCCTGTTTGCGGTCCGTGTGACGATGAACTTCCAGCGATATATTATGCGCCTTCTCAATCTGCCTGGTGAGACCCGCTTCTGGGAGGCCAGACAAACCGATTCGCTATCACCGAAAAAATCACAATCACACTTCACTCTCGAAGGACCAAAAAGATGTTGTGGTATTCAACACCTTTTGATGTAAATGTTACTTAAAATACTGTTTATGCACAAAATGTTTATTATATTGTTATAATATTATTGTTACAATGTTTATAAATGTTATATGTTTATAAATGTTATGTATGTGAGCACACACGAGACAATGTTGGCGTCCGTACATGTACTGACTTAAATAAAAACTTTAAAGTAAAATGCCTACGCGTACATAATGTGTTCGGTGTAAACTGAACAAGGATGAAGATTAGAAAGATGTGGGTATAACTTGTTAAGACTTCCTATAGTGCCCTTTACTATGCTAATAAAGTGCTAATGATTTCTCTAGAACATTCTCTAGAAAAAGTTATTTCTTGCTTAGATTTTTAAATTAATTAAGCATTTCTTTTTAAACTTAATGCATTATTTTATTTATGGCTATGTAAACTAAAATACAACAAAACAATCAAATTTGTTTATTCTCGTAAGAATTAACCACTCACCAGTAGAAGTCAGCTTAAAGTGCCAATCAATATACTGTTTACCCTATTAAAAGTTTTTTCTCACGTAGCATGTCGTAAAAAGCAACTAAACCCTGTATGGTTTGTGATTTTTTTTTATAGAATAGAGTGAGAAACGAGCACACAGTCCACCTGATGGTAAGTGGTTGCTGTGGCCCATAGACATCTACATCTATCCTCGTTTGCGAATTAAAATGCAGATGCGTTGTCACTCGTGAGGACTAAGATGGAATGCCTCTTTTCCAGTAAAAAGGGTCTCCGGTTCTCTACACTCACCATACGAAACAGCATTGTTAAGCTGCTATTTTATGTTGGTATTCTTTGAGAGCGTGGATCTTTTTACTTAACTTATTAAAAGATACTACACCTACTACGCATTCTATAGGTGGACCGGAAAGCAGCCGTACAAACACTACTATTTAGCGTCAGAAGTATGTACCTATGGTAGGTTTCCTGAGCGGTAGAGGAAAGTAGGGCTACCACGTAGCAAAATTACCTGGATATAGGAATGTATTTTTTAATTTGGCTAAATTGGATTTATAATGTTAGAAATTGGATAAAACTGTTGCACAATTCTTCGATCCCTTTTTAGGATAAGGTGACAAGCGATCACTCCTTCCACCAGACGGTAAGTGGTTGCTGTGACCCATTAACATCTACGTACATCAATCCTCAATAAAGAACCAAAATGCAGAGGGTTGTCACATGTGAGGACTAAGATGGAAAGTCTCTTTCCCAGTAAAAAGGGTCCGGTTCTCTACACTCACCATACGAAATACAGCAGCGTTAAGCTGCTATTTTACGCTGGTATTCTGTGGGAGTGTGGTCCTTCCCCGGTCGAGCCGACCCATTCGTGCTACAACTATACTACTAATATAGCTGCAGTATGGCTCTACCACGTATGTAAGTGATGTGCTAGCCGCCTATCACTTCTTTCAAAATTTTCCATCTAAACCCATATTTTTTTGCTAAACGTGGTCCAAGTAGCTAGTTACTCTCAAGAATACTATTTGGGAATGGTGGCATCCACGACTTCGTTCGCCACCAGGGCGGCGCCACTTACGAATGAGGTGAAATGTTTGGCAAATTTCATAGCGGAGGAAGTTACCTTGTAAATCTTGATGTTTCTTTCCGAAATATTGGTTATATTTTATATTAATTAGATTAGAAATGGATAAACTAAACTATGGATATTTCTAGAAGTAAAAGAATTAAAAACAACTTAAAGTGTGTAAAAATTAGAGAATACCGCACTGAGGCATTGATTTGTGTATATACATACACTAGAAACAGAAAAACTTATAATTAAATCGCAACTTTTCAATGATTATGACACTGTGTGACCACCTGCGTAACAAATAAGTTCACCTTAGCCACAACTAGCGACATCTGGTGAGCGTAAGATTATTAGCCCTCATTACTGTTGAAGCGCCTGCACCTTCTTTCAGAGCAACGAGTTAAACCACGTACTTGTTGAAATTACATCATCCATTGGAGGTCACTTGATATCTTGATATTTATCACAGTCATCTCTTCCGACATCTACAGCATGAGATGGGGTGATGGAATCTTTATGTCATCGCTATTCATATCATAGTCTTAATTTTTTATAGTGATGACAAACGAGCACACATACTACTTTAAGATAAGTGAATGCTGTGGTAAATAAACATATACATCTACTATCGATTAAGATTCAAAAATAATACGCTTTATCAACCCTGGGGAATAAGATGAAATGTCCTATTACCTGTAAAAAGGATATCTGTATCTCTACGCTCATGGCTCACCATACCAAACACAACAGTTTTCTGTAAGAGCGTAGTTCTAATCGGGTCGAAATGACTTATTTGCATTTATGTCAGTGAATAATTTTTTCGTCGTTATCAAAAGGATAACTTATTAAATGCAATCTTGTGAAAAAAATGTTATTTACATCTGAACTAACAGATACATCGGTACAATCGGGTCATTAACATCACTTTTGCTCCCGGGCTAATGCAGAGGTAATAAACCCACATACAATTTGCAAATAAAAAAATATTTTAATTTAATGGTTGAGTTTGCTGACGTTAAGTTATTTCACTCAGTTAAGGTGTTTTATTTAGTGGGAACTACAGGGATTTTGTTAGATGTTGTATATAGTTGCAGCCTGGCTTTATCGGGTAAAAATATTTTTTGTAAATGCATGCTACGACTGATGCAAAATTATTGCTAAAATCTAGGTACCAATTAAAAAAAAATACCTTCAGCAGCCTGTATTCATCATCAGGCAGCCTTCTATTGACGGTGTATCCGGCGAGCACGATGCCAGCGGTGCGAAGGTCCCCAGTCAGCAGCATCATGTAAGTCATGCTGATGGCCAGCTCGAACACGTAGTACGAGTACTGGATGTCGCCGAAGTCAATGATGCCAGTCACCCGGTAGTCGGTTTTGCTGTTAATAATGTTGAATAGACTGTCAATTTGTCAAGTCGCCCGATGGTTCTTACCCGACTACCACAGAAGAAGGTAATGTTTTTCAAGTGTATGTATGTATGTGTCTATTCCTTTGGCGCGCTCTGAAGCCTAAACGGCTTGACGGATTTACATATGAGGTGAAGTTAGATTCGTTTATGTTGTGTGAATGACATATGTATAATAATTATATATTACATCAGTCAATACAAGAAAGGGGAGGGGAAGGTATTTGTACAGTAAATTTATAATGCAGTCGAGGGTTTAACCATTACTTTTTTTTTTCTTTTTAAAAAACGTTACCCCCACACTAGGATTTTCTCCTGTATCGTGGAGGCAGTTTACAAACACAAATTTCACAAGGACAAACATCCAGACCCGGAACAATCATTTGTAGGCCATACAAATACTTGTTCCGTGCGGGATTCGAACCCGCGCCCCCCAGCGCAGCAACTCATTGCTAAGCCACTGCGCCACGGAGCCGTTAAGCCTGTATGTGGTAATAGTGTAACTAAATTAGTAATAATAATCAATGTTATCAATTAAAATAATTATTATTCCACTTCAACTTTCATAAAAACTGCTTCCACCTAAGCGCATGCAGTTTATGGCAAACAAGAAAGATTCAGAGATAAGAGAGATAGAATGTAAATAATAAACACTAGGTATACAAAAAATGAAAATGTGCACTTCGAAAAAAAACATAAAAAACTTAAATTGTCGATAAATATGGCACTGAGAGTAGTATAGAAGTAGTAGTAGTAAGTATAATACAAAAAATACAATAATAATAAAAAAATCATAACCTAAAATTAGTATTCTATTTGTAAATGTTTAACTCGAAGATATTTTACTAAATAACTTACCGTTGTAGTTAGTCTAGATAACAAGTGCTTTTTTTGCCTTTTTTGGAATGAGCTCCTTATCGGACGGTACGAATTTGGCAGATGGGTATTAGGCGAAAAAAAGTGTAAGATTTTCCGTCACGACGCTTTCTGACGTAGTGTAGACGGCCTTAGCGGTTATAAGGAAGCGAGATGGAATAATATCCATCTCCCTCGCACTTTTTCTTATCTTGCCATGAAAGAAATTTTATTTTATTTCAAATGACGCTTCATTTTAATAGACGCTAGTAATTAATTTATTTGTATTTGTTAATCAATAATATAATACATTTCTCATTAATAATATACGAAAGGAACTTCGTTCTAACCGAGTATTCCACGACACTCACGCATGTTTTTTTTTTTCAACTTTTTCAGTAGTTCCGGGTTTAGAATAAAATCATTTCCCGCTCGCAAAAATTGCAAAAGTTATAAACAATTCAAAAAGAAGAAAAAATTTTCTAGCAGAATAATTTACCTCCTGGAACTGTACGAGCAATATTTATAATTTTTCCAGGGGGGTGTAATTACGTTATAACTTTTTTTGCGAGCAAGACCTTTTTTTTTTCAAAACTATCTACATGCTACTCCGAATCGAATGTCACCTTCTTTATATTTTTCTGCAACTGCTGAAAAAAGTTGAAAAAAGGCAAAAAAGCACTTGTTGCCAAGACTAAATAACTCGTATCCAATAACGTACTTTGTACTTAAAGTATGACTCATTTTGAAAACTTTTCTGACCTAATAATTTCTATATTAAACCATTTGTTATATTGTATTATACTGTGCTATTTGTTATTCCGCAAAAAAAAAATAAACATGGCAGCCCATGGACAAATGAAACCAATTTCAAGTTGAGGTGGGGTGCCTGTCGAAAAGTGTTTTCGACAGGCACCCCAGGTATATGAAGTAATATTTATTTTATTAACTACCGTGTAGTTGCGATGTAAGAATATCTACTACCCCTTATAATCCACTGGGTGTCTGCGACAGAGAAAAACAAATCAGAAGATGGGCAGCAGCATTTTCCTAATAACGACAAAAAATAAAAAAGTTGGGTTGCCAACCCGCTTGCCAAGCGTGACAACTATCCCCCTGGACAATTTATAGGGTAGGCCTTTTTTATAGGATTGGGGTGACAAACGAACACACAGTCCACCTGATGGTAAGTGGTTGCTGTGACACATAGAGATCTACACCTTCAATAAATGCGCAAGGACTAAGATGGAATGCGTCTTTTCCAGTAAAAAGGGTCTCCGGTTCTCTACACTCACCATACCAAACACAGCAGTGTTAAGCTGCTATTTTACGCTGGTATGCTGTGAGAGCGTGGTCCTTCCCCGGTCGAGCCGACCCATTCGTGCTACAACTATACTACTAATATAGCTGCAGCTTGGCTCTACCACGTATGAGTACCTTATATGTGGTAGTACTTTAAGATGAACATGGACAAAACAAATGTCATGTGTAACGTCCATGTCACACCTATGCCGTATATTGTTGGGAGCACTAGGCTCGAAGTTGTTGACGAGACTTCAAACGAGAGGTCAATCGACGGATTCAACTCGGCTGGGCAGCGTTCGGGAAACTACGACACATCTTCTCGTTAGACATACCTCAAAACCTAAAAACAAGATTGTTCAACCAGTGCGTGATGTCAGTGCATCTAAGACGTGATCCTGCACTGCTGGCCGTATGCGGAAGCTCAAGGTCGCTCAGCGAGCTATAGAGAGGGCTAGACTCGGGGTTTCTCTGCGTGGTTCTCATCTTAAGGTGCTAAGGTACTTATATATGGTAGAGCCATGCTGCAGCTATATTAGTAGTATAGTTGTTGCAGTAAATCAGTTCCAGTGGTGACCCAAAACAAAATTGATAAGGACGGGTTTACTCTTGTTGAGAAGAGACATCGGTCGAGACCCGTCTGTAACCAGCGTGGGACGGCCAAAATAAACGCGATTACAACTCTGCGTGCTGTGAAGCCAACTATATAGCTCTACATCTCCCGTTTGGACAAAAGTACGTCGGGAGAAGACGCCCTGCGTTTCGTGGAGGAACGAAACGCAGGACGATGACGCATTGAGGATCCGATCTCTTTACACTTGCAGCGTCTGGAGTCTAATAGGTCAACGAACTTCAAATCTTACGTACTCCAGGTACCTGCAAAACACAAAGAGACATTCCTCGCTCCCGATTTCTGGCCCTCTTGGGTTGTGTTTCGCCGATACATGGACGCGCCAAAGAAAAAAGTTTCCTAAATAGTGTTATGTCTATATCTATACAAATAAATAAAATTGAAGTGTCTGTTTCGAATGTGGAAATAACAGCTTTTTACTATATGCATATGAAAGTATATACGATACTTATAACAAAAACACGATTTTTAAAATTTTTGTCTGTCTGTCTTTCTGTCTGTCTATCTGTTGGTTCCGGCTAATATCTGAAACGGCTGGACCGATTTTGACGGGACTTTCAGTGACAGATAGCTGATGTCATAAGGAGTGACTTAAGCTACTTTTATTTTGGAAAAAGAATGAGGGTTCCGTGCAAAAAAATTAAAACTCAAATAATACACGGGCGAAGTCGCGAGGAACAGCTAGTTTTATATATATTTTTAGGTTAAGGTATATATTGCTATGGGCCAATGTTCTTAATTTTTAAGTCCTTGATGCCTGAAATAAAGTTATTGTATTGTATTAACACTCCTGTATTTCGTATAGTGAGTGTTGAGAACCGGAGACCATTTTTACTGGAAAAGATGCATTTCATCTTAGTCCTCACGGGTGACAACGCATGTGCATTTTGATTCGCAAACGAGGATAGATGTAGATGTCTATGGGTCACAGCAACCTATTACCATCAGGTGGAATGTGTGCTCGTTTGTCACCCTAATTCTATAAAAAAAAATAATTAAAGCCGCAAATAGGACTCCACGTGACCGTTACAGCTAGAGCGCATCGCCGTTGAAGACAGTCACATAAAATATATTTCTATAAAGTATTAAATATTAACATAAAAATTTTAATAATTATGGTGTCATCAGAACACTTCAATAAATAAAGCACCGTTGGAAAAAAATATGTCGATTCATTATACCATTGTTAATTAACAAATTTTTTTTCAATCTCTGTTTTAACAAAAGTAGACATAAAAGTTATAATATAATTGACCTATAATTTGTTTACTTCTTGGAGCCCTTATTTATATACATACTTAACCAGATCGCGCGATTAAAGTTTATTAAAATTTTATATTTTATTTGTTATAATTTTTTAAATGAAGAAAAAGTGATATATTCAAAAAAATTGTATTGCTGTTTTCACATCTAACAATGACATTAATTAACGCAGGAATTTTTTACGTCATTTGTTAAGAAATTGTTGCATTCCAAAAAATATAACAAACAAAATATAAAATTTTAATAAACTTTAATCGCGCGATCTGGTTAAGTATGTATATAAATAAGGGCTCGAAGAAGTAAACAAATTATAGGTCAATTATTTAAACTTTTAAGTCGACTTTTGTAAATACACAGATTGGAAAAAAAATATTTAATTAACAATCGTTTAACTTTTTGAAACATCGACACTTTTTCCAACGGGGCTTTATTTTTCAAATTTTTAAATTAATATTAAATACTATAAAATTTATATATATATAATTATTTTATGTCTTACTATGCCGTTTTCAGCGGCGATGCGCTCATGCCGTTACGGTCGCACGGAGTTCTATTTTCAACGTTAAATAAAAATTATAAATGATGGAGATGGAGTCTGGATTTTTTTATTGGAAGTTTCCTCCTCTTTAAGGATTAGTTTTCAAAGTTTTTAAATATTAATATTTTTTGAGTTATTAACGAAAAACTCCAGAAGCGGCCCCACAGGAAGTGGACCTGGTCGAGCCCCGACGGTTCGACAAAAAATGAGATTGACTTCATTATGACGACCAGACGACAACTGTTCAGTGATGTCTCAGTGATCGCGAGGGTGAAAACCGGCAGCGATCACCGAATGGTTAGAGGCACACTGAACCTAAACGTTAAGTTGGAGAGGTCTCGTCTAATGAAGTCAACGCTCCGTCCCCCTCGTGCTCTGTTCCAAAGTCCCGAAACCTTTCAGCTCGAGTTACAAAACCGTTTTCAGTGCCTAGAAGACTGCAATGAAGTGGACGATTTGAATGACAAGCTCGTGGAAACTGTCCATGCGGTCGGAGCTAAGTTCTGCAAGACCCGCCGCAGAAGAACACAAAAACTCTTCGATCACACTCTTAATCTCATGGCTGTTAGACGGGAGATGAAGCTACATTCTTCAACAGATTTGACAGCATACAGGCAACTGAACAGACAGATCTCCAAATGCATGCGGCGGGACTTACGCAACTTCAATACAGCTCGTATTGAAGAAGCGATCGAGCGGAACCAAGGCTCCAAAGTCTTTGCCAGAGATCTGTCTGCCAGAAAGAGCCAACTGTCAAAGCTGAAGACCGAATGTGGCAGCATCGTTTCCGGGGCGCCTGAGATTTTGAGTGAGATTGAGAGGTTCTATGGGCAGCTGTACACGTCATCGTTGGAGCCACACGCAAGTGTGAGTAACGATCCAAGAGCGAGTCTTATCCGACATTATTCCGATGATATCCCGGACGTCAGTCTGAGCGAGATTAGAATGGCTCTCCAGCACCTTAAAAACGGCAAGGCCCCAGGCGAGGATGGAATTACAGCGGAGCTTCTGAAAGCGGGTGGAAAACCGGTACTTAAAGTCCTTCAGAAGCTCTTTAATTCCGTCCTCCATGGCGGCATTACACCGGAGGCGTGGAGCAGAAGTGCGGTGGTCTTGTTCTTCAAGAAAGGCGACAACGCTCTCTTGAAGAACTACAGACCGATTTCCCTTCTGAGCCGCGTCTACGTGCTGTTTTCGAGAGTCATTACGAATCGTCTCGCGCGCAGACTTGACGACTTCCAGCCTCCCGAACAAGCCGGTTTCCGAAAAGGCTTTAGCACCATAGACCACATACATACCCTTCGGCAAATTGTACAGAAGTCCGAGGAGTACAATTTGCCACTATGTCTGGCGTATGTGGACTATGAGAAAGCCTTTGATTCCGTCGAAATTTGGACGGTGCTGCAGTCCCATTAGCAGTGCCAAGTTGACTGTAGGTATATCGAAGTGCTGAAGTGTTTGTACAGTAGAGCTACGATGGCTATCCAAGTACAGAACCAGAGTACGAAACCTATCCAATTGCAGAGAGGTGTAAGACAGGTTGATGTTATATCCCCGAAACTCTACACCGCTGCATTGGAAGACGTTTTCAAGCTTCTGGCCTGGAAAGGATACGGTGTTAACATCAATGGCGAGTACATCACTCACCTTCGATTTGCCGAAGATATAGTCCTTATGGCAGAATCGCTGGAGGACCTAAGCACCATGCTCAATGACCTCAATAGTGTCTCCCAACGAATAGGTCTTAGGATGAACATGGACAAAACATAGATCATGTTTAATGTCCATGTCACACCTATGCCGGTAGTTGTTGGGAGCACTAAGCTCGAAGTTGTTGACGAGTATGTTTACCTGGGACAAATAGTCCGACTAGATAAGTCCAACTTCGACCGAGAGGTCAATCGACGGATTCAACTCGGCTGGGCAGCATTCGGGAAACTACGACACATCTCGTCAGACATACCTCAAAACCTTAAAACGAAATTGTACAACCAATGCGTGTTGCCAGTGATGGCTTACGCATCTGAGAAGTGGTCCTTCACTGCTGGCCGTATGAGGAAGCTCAAGGTCGCTCAGCGAGCTATGGAGAGGGCTATGCTCGGGGTTTCTCTGCGTGATAAACTTAGAAATGAGTATATCCGCAGTAGAACCAGAATAACCGACATAGGCCAACGGATTAGTAAGCTGAAGTGGCAGTGGGCCGGCCATATAGCTCGAAGAACCGACAACCGATGGGGAAGAAAGGTTCTTGAGTGGCAGCCTCGTACCGGTAGGCGAAGTGTAGGGCAACCCCCCACGAGATGGAGTGACGACCTGGTAAGATATGCAGGAAGTCGATGGATGCAGGTGGCTCAGGACCGTGCTTTGTGGCATTCCTTGTGGGAGGCCTATGTTCAGCAGTGGACTTGTGAAGGGCTGTAATGATGATGATGATAATGATAACGAAAACTAAATATCTTTTTACTACGCCTAAATGGGTATATACTTACTTTTCTCCAGGCTTCAGACCTACGATGATGTTCATCTCATTGACATCTCCGTGAATGACTCCCTTCTCCAGTTCCTCGAGGCGGGGAACCACTGCGTACTTGTATTCCTCTATTACCTAATCATTAAGACGTTACCAATTATTTTTTGCAGTCACAGGCATTCCATCCATTCATTACATATCTTACATGGTATAGCCATTCTGCATTTTGCATTAATGGCTCGACCGGGAAAAGACCGTGCTCTCACAAAATATTGTAGAGAACCCTTTTACCTATACCCGAAGACCCTTTTTACTGGAAACGAAGCATTCCATCTTAAACATCAGGGGTGACATCGCATATGCATTTTGATTCTTAATCGAGGATAGATGTAAATGTCTATAGGCCAGAGCATCCACTTGCCATCAGGTGGACTGTGTGCTTGTTAGCCACCCTTATATTATAAAAATAAAATTATAGCCAATAAAAGTCCACTGCTGAAGATAGGACTCTCTCATAGGCAAAAACCGCTTGGCAGGCCAACCGGGCTTTCTATTATTTTGAGTTGCTCTCAGGAAGACGCTGCTGCCCATCTTCTGTTTTCGTTTCCCTCTGTCGCATCTCACGACACCCACGGGATATGGGGTAGTGCAAATGCTTACACCGCCACTTCACGGTGCACAGGCGTTCACCAGAGTTTAATGAAGACTGCATTGCCTACCGTGTCAAATGCAGCTGTACTGGCAGCTTCTTTTAAATAAAATTAATTTTACGGATTTTATCGCGTATATTAATTTATTTTATAATCCCAACGTTTCGAGCACTTTTCAGCACCCATGGTCACGGGGGGGACTGAGGTGTATGACGTCCCAATGTCACAGTAAACCTTCTACCTTCAGATTAAAAATTATTAATTTTTGTTCTTGTTTCAGTTTCTTTTACTAAAGCAGGAGGTACTCAATTGGACTGTATGTTGTTTTTTATGTGTGTTACCTCATAAATTTGTTCTACATGAACCGATTTCGATGATTCTTTTTTTTATTTGAAAGCTGGTGCTTCCCATGTAAATTTCATCAAGTACTGACCAAAAGTTTTTGCGTTGTAATATATATTGAAGTCGGTTGTACAAAATTTAAATTTTTGATTATACATATAAGATTTAAATCGTTGCAGTTTGTCGTTTAAAGGACACAACTGTTTATTTTTAAGCCTTTGCATTATTTATACGAGTTAATCCTCGGGGCTGATTAGAATGACATTGCTATTAGGTGCGATTGTGGTGTTTCCCTGGTTTAGCTGACTCCTTCACTGTAGCACTGGTGTAGCATCATCGATCTACTACGTATTTAAAAAAATACGTAGTCATCTCTCATAGACTCATATTTGCGCTACTTAATTCAGCTGCCTCTGATGCCGCCCCGGCTCTAAACGAGCTATCGCTGAGATAAGAGGCCACCAAAGAATCTACGCAAGTAGCACCAAACACTAGCGCTTTACCTCTCTCTCAAGGGAGCAAAGTCATACCGTCGGGTCTCCTGCTATCCAATTTTTAATTCGTGTTAGGTGTGATTATGTTACGTGATTCGTACATACAACGAGACTTCTCACCTCTTCCGCGAGGTCCAATTTTTCAGCATCCTTGATGACGTACTTGAAATTATCTAGGTCCGGAACCTTGCTCAGCATCCAGATGTGCTCGCGCTCCACCAAGCCCGAGTGGTTGAAATTCTGAAAGAGATCGCAAGATCAGTAAACACTTTACTTACCAACCAGTTCTTTAATTATTATTAATTATTTTTTGAGTGCACGTAGTTGCAGCTATATTACAGTTGTAGCAAGAATGACTCGATCATGGAAGTACCACGCTCTTATAGAATACTAGCGTAAACACACATGGTTTTCGCTGGAAATAAGGCATTCCATTTTAGTCCTCAGGGGTGACTACCCCCCGTCACCACTACTCCCAACACCATTACTCCAACAACACTACACCAGGGAAAAAGAAACACCGTCGAGTCTATTTAACTATCAACACCTAGTGTAGTGGCATTGGGAGTAGTGGTGTTAGAATTAAAGGTGGCGGGGATAGTGCACGCAATAGATGGAGGGCGGGAAGTTCTCGTCAAACTAAGTAAGACACATCATTTTATATTTTCACGCGGATCTCATCTAATTAATATTTAACATCTTTATTATGTTGGATTTCCGGAAAGTAATTCCAATTCTGTTAATTTTAAAAACAGATATTTTAGTTTGTAAAGAAATTACGGCAGAATATTGTTATTGTTGCATTAGCCTGGGCACCGACTACCGACATCGTGTCACCTTGACCGAGTCCGCTCAGTCGCTCCATTGTTGCCATATTAAGTGTGACGGGTTAGCCTGCCTACGACTATTTACAGACCGTGCGAATGAGCTATTTAAATTTATAACAATGAACAATAAAAAAAATAAAAAAATAAATCTATGGTTAAAGGCAACATCATCATCATCATATACAATACAGCTCTTCACGAATCCACTGCTGAATATGGGCCTCTCCTAAGAAATTTTCCAAAAATCTCCTAAGAAAAAGTTCATAAAAATTACGTATTCCTCAAACAGTCACACTAGTGGTGCCCAGTAACTTACTAACTATTCAGTTATTACCTACGTGAAGCAGCTAGGAATTATATTGTTTCGTGAGTTCCAAAGCAGTTTATACATTTATTAATTTTTTAACGTTAACTGTGACATCGGGACGTCAAACACCTCAGTCCCCCCGTGACCATGGGCGCTGGAAAGTGCCCGAAATGCGGGAGTTAAATAAGTTTAAAATAAAAACGATAAAATCCGCAAAAGTAGTTTTAGTTCATGTGTAGTCTTTGCGTAAGTGTAATAAATCGTTATTTTTAAACTTGGTAACAATACTATAACTCATGCTCTCGAAGTTAGTTTTCTGAAGGTTTCATTTCTACCGCGTATGAACTGCACAGATGTTCTTTTTATAGAATAAGGGTGACAAACGAGCATATAATCAACCTGATCGTAAATGAATGCTGTGGCCCGTAAAAACTACATTTATCCTCGATTAAGAATCAACATGCAGTTGCATTGCCACCCTTAAGGTTTAAGGTGGAAAGCCTTTCTTGAAAAAACGGGTCTCCGATTCTCTACACTCAACATACAAAACATAGCAGCATTAAGCAGATATTTCTTGCTACGTGTACACTGGCGTACAGTTAAACAATGACTATTAAAGTTGACGAAAAATTACTTTGCGTACATCTGCGTAATTTTTCGTCAACTTTAATATAATGGACTTCCGCAAAGTAACGCCTGATTCTATTAATTATCCTAAACAATTACTGCAAATCGTAGTTAGAAACAAAACGCAAAAAAGTCACCTGTAGTTTGTTGTCAAGGTTGGCCACAAACTCGCCCAGCTGGTAGAACAGCGCTTCAGACCTGGGTACGTCCTTCAGCAGCTCTCCGGGCACGTACTCAAGCAGACGTACAGCGTGCCGCTTGCCGCTGATGATCTCCAGCGAGTACAGGTGACCGAACACGTTACGTACTGGTTTCGGGCATGTCACTGAACGAGTGGCTGTGGAAAAGAGTTGAGACATGCTTATAATTAAGAATTAAGGATCAACGACAATTACAATGTAGTGGCGATGTAAGAATATCCACTACCCCATATCATCCTGTAGGTGTCAAAGAGGCGACATAGGGAAACAAATCAGGAGATGGGTAGCAGAGTATCGAGCAGCTACCTAATTACTACTAAAATAAATACTGCGGTAGCCAACCTACTTGCCCAGCATAGCAACTATATCAAATATCGCCCCTATGAGGCAACCTATGGGGGAGGCCTATGTTCAGCAGTGGACTTAGGCTGTAGTGGATGGATGTATTGAAGATAATCTACCAGGAGCACATGACTCACGGATCGGTGAAATGATCAAATCAACAGTAACATTACAACTATGGCAAATATTCCCCCTATGAGGGAGAATCTATGAGGGAGGCCAATGTTCAGCAGTGGACTCGGACAATTACAATTCTTTTGTTTTGTTAATAACAACGATTCGGGAGAAAATACAACAACATAGTATTTTCTCCTGAATCGTGGAGACGGTATATATAGATAAATTGCTCAAGGACAAACATCCAGACCCGAAACAATTATTTGTAGGATATACAAATACTTGTTCCGTGCGGGATTCGAAGCAGCGGCCCTCAACACCGTAGCGCATTCCTAAATCTGTTACCACTCACTAATTAAAATTAAAATTACAAAAAGCTTGAAATATTAACGAAAATTCATTCCTTTTGTAGCGATTACAAATAAGACTTCAAGTTTGTATTGATTCAACTCACTCAGATAGTTCATAATTTCATTTTGAGCTTCCACTACCCCCAAGTTCTGCGAGTCCATAGAGTTCATGATCTTCAGAACATAGCCATACGGACTATGGTTCACAATGAGAGGATTTTTCACATTGGGGTCTTCAATGATTTTATAGTTCTTGTCATCGTAGCCATTTAACTCCGTGAGCTCCAAAACCGATATCCCGTACAGCCTTTCCACCAGCAGTTTCACTTCCTCATGGTCAATTACTGGTTTGATAACCGTTCCCGGTTCTAGTACCAAACTTGGCTTACGATCCCCCATATTAATTCAATCTTTAAATTCTTTATCTGTAAATAATAGAACTTGGTAAATATTAATTTGTTTGACAAAAGAGCTGAGTAATAGTTTTCTAAATGTGGTACGAAACTCTAGTATCAATGCGAAGTCGTGAAATTAAAACTCATTCTATACAATATTTAAGAGTAGCAAAGAAGCAGTACCTGCGCCTAAATATAAGTTAAAACTGTTGCGAGTACCGTGCACACTAGGATCGCTACATTTTTGAGTGAATATACGAGTAGTTACACTTTTCAAAACCAAAAAGTAATAAAAGTATAATACGTCAAGTGAAATTAAAGTATTATTTATTTTAAATGCAATTTTTCTTTACAAGCTGTCTCTAATTTAAGATAACACTGTTCCTTTCATCCCGTCGCCGGGGACGAGTGTGATGTAGTGCTTGTTGACTCTTCCCGTAGTTATCTACTCGTACAAAATTAAGTGACCGTAACGAAGGCTCGAAGTTCGCGTGGCTAATTGCATGCTACAAAAAGAGCTCATATTTCAATGGCATACAAATAATTGTTCTGGGCTTGGATATTTGTCCGTTTTAAATCTTTGTAGGTAAACTGCTCCCGCGATACAGATGAAAATCCTACTTTGGAGGTAACGTTTTAAAATAATTTTAAAAAACACTGCAAGGGTCACGCACAATGTTGAGGTTGGGTTCCATAGTTGCCCGTCACAATACGTGGGCTTCCTTGATAATGAGCAAAATAAGTGAGTTCGTAGTTTGACCGCTATATGACGACTAAGAATGGGCCCAAATAGGAAGATCGTAACTAAAGCACATGTTCAAATCAGACTTGTAGGGAGTGTTATTCAAAAAAGATTAAAAATCCTTTTTGATTTTGATATCTATCTATCCCGCAAATGAAAAAGTAAAGCTAATAGTAGTAATGCATATAAGTCGTTTTCTTCGTTAAATGTTTATTTTAACAGATTACAATAACATTACAAAATTATTAATGCAGCTAGTTTTAGGTCATTTTGTATGGAGTTGTAACGAAATTTTTACTTATCCAAGTGCATTTTATAAGTTGGTCGACTTTTTTTTTTTTTTTTATATAATAGGGGGCAAACGAGCATGCGGCTCACCTGATGTTAAGTGACTACCGCCGCCCATGAACAACCGCAACACCAGGGGAATTGCAGATGCGTTGCCGGCCTTTTAGAAAGGTGTAAGCTCTTTTCTTGAAGGTTCCTAAGTCGTATCGGTTCGGAAAATTCGCTGGTGGTAATTGATTCCACAAAGAAGTTGTGCGAGGGAGAAAACTTCTTCTAAATCGCACAGTGGTGGACCGCCAATCATCCAGATGGTATGGATGGTAACGCGAGTTTTGTCGCGACGTGCGATGGTGAAATTGAGCGGCTGGAATTAGTCCGAACAATTCCTCAGAGCACTCCCCGTGATAGATGCGATAAAATACGCAAAGAGATGCAACATCTCTACGCAGTGCCAGTGTATCGAGCCGATCGGAAAGAACTCGGTCGTTGACGATTCGAATCGCTCTGCGCTGGATGCGGTCAAGTGGAAGGAGCTGGCACTGGGGTGCCCCGGCCCAGAGATGAGAACAGTATTCCATGTGGGGCCGAACTTGCGCTTTGTAAAGTTGCAAGCGATGTGCCGGCATGAAATACTGTCTCGCTCTGCTGAGCACGCCAAGCTTTTTAGAGGCCAATTTGGCCTTCCCTTCCAAGTGACCACGAAACTGCACGCTATTCGATATGTCGACGCCAAGGATTCCGATACTGGCTGAGGCAGCAAGGGGAGTGCCTTGAAACTGAGGAGATACGACAAAGGGGTTCTATTACTCGTTAACTTCTTAATTCTACTTAGCTGTGACAGTTTTCCTCTTAACTTCATTATATTTTGTATACTTTTCACATTCTCGAAAACAGCGGTTTAATTGGTAGATGGGGGGCACACATGACTCTAATGAAAAATAACACTTTAAAGCTAAATATTTCGCAAACGGACCCCGAATCAAAAAGATGTTGTTCCACAACCCCAATGTTTTGGAAAGACCTATCCAACGATACCTCACATAATGGAATAGACGGGTAAAAAATAATCATCCATTTTCTTGTTTGGGTAAGTGCCCAAAATAAAAATGTTTTTTAAGTTTTTATTTCCCAGTTTTCTAGGCGTGATTAATATCTATCAAATATGCCAAATTACAGATTTATGGCACCTAGGATATCTGAGCAAAACCGCGGACGGACGGACAGACATGGCGAAATTATAAGGGTTCCTTGTTGTGTAACTACGAAACCCTAAAATATGTCAATTGAATCTTTGTTTAGACTTTTTTACTCATTATAAGCCAGTGCTTGACCACAAGAGTGGTAAGTGATGATGAAACCCTCGGTGGTAAATCGCACTGCCTTAGGATAAGGAAAGCGTATTCACTCTTGCCGAAAAGATGCCCAGATTGTAGGTACCTATTCATTAGATACTTTATTCCAAAAATTGCATTCCTTGAATCCGATATGAAATGCAGAACAGAGGTCAATAACTGTGACACTATGAGTACACTAAATAGGTAATGTGTGGTTTCTTAGCAAAATAACTAATAATTAATGCGGCTGCGTTACGCATGTGTCGCCATCTAGTGAACGCTTGGTGACACTAATATCACATGATATTATTAAAAACACGGGCGGGATTTTGATTTATGTAATCCGTTTGTCCAAGTCTTATATTTGTGAAACCTTAAGTTTGATTTAGCTAGTTATTATTTAATTTAAACATATAAGTATAATATATTATAAATGTGTATTTTAGGTTCAGCTATAAACATTAAATTATATTTTTATTTAAGTCTTACATTTGTCATTAATTTAAAAAAAAATTAACTAAGTATTGTTTTTTTATAGTTTTCGTTAAAATAAGAACCTTGATATTTTTTTAAATAGGTAAAGCAAATCTTATGTCTTAATCTCTAGTGCCAATAAATTATTCATAAAAATGATGGAAGAATAAACATCACTATCACTAATTCACAAAGTAAAAGTCATCACAAATTTCATCACTAAATAAAATCTAAGCTCACCGTGTCTGGTGAGGGGTGACCGTCCGTGTGTCGCAGTCCGACTGTTTGTGTGTCACAAGCCACACTAACAACTGACAAACATCTTGTGCAACTTGCCTATCTGATAAAAGAGACGAGGTGTTATTACATAAAATGATCACAATTTTAGACTATTGCTATCATAAGCACATTGTTATTATTTCATTCTGGCATTTTAATTTTTTTTATAGAATAATGGTGACAAGCGAGCACACAGTCCACCACACAGCATACAACGTTAAGTACTTAAAGAATGTCGATATGTTGCGCAATTACCTATTTATTCTACAAAATCCAAATACAATGGCAGTAATTAAGTCTTTACTGTTTCATTTTGATAAACTAGCTGTGCTCATACTACACTTGTATTTGGTGCCTGTTTGTGAATCAATTCTACACCAGTTTTTAAAGGGTATGGGTGACAAACGAGCACACAGTCCACCTGATGGTAAGCGGTCGCTGTGGCCCATAGACATTTACATCTATCCTCGATTACGAATCAAAATGCAGATGCGTTGTCAGCCGTGAGGACTAAGATGGAATGCCTCGTAACCATTAAAAAGGGTCTCCGGTTCTCTACACTCACCATATGAAACACAGCAGCATTGAGCTGCTATTTTACGTTGGTATTCCGTGAGAGCATGGTCTTTCCCTAGATGAGTCGATCCATTCGTGCTACAACCATAAGATAGTTGCAGCATGGCTCTACCACGTAAAAAAATTTCATTTTCTAGGTTGTACTAGCTAGAGTACTACAGCTTTTCTTATTTTACCGCCAAGAACGACTGTGTCCCATTCTCAAAGGGTTAAAACATATAATATAATTAAAAACAGGCTATAACTTTGATAATTGTTTAATAAAAACATTCTTCATTGAAGTTTGTTTTAGAAGTCCGTAGAGGCTGCAGTTGCCACGTACGATAATGTTAACTCGTTTGTCACTCTAATGTGTAAGAAAATTCCCAAAAAATACAGGTAACAAAATGATGCCACTTTAATTTGTTTTTAATTTGACAATAAATTATTCTTTTTATAATATTTTAATTATATATATATATCGGAAATGACAACAGGAGATCCCACTACTGGTGTCGGAGATTACAACAGAGTATTCCACTTGTGATCTTGGAAATACATCAGGATAGCGTTAACTGTTAAAAATAATAAAAGTGTGAGAGCGGATGTTCAACTTGCTCTCTTGCTTACGCAGTTTAATCATTATCGGTAATAAGACAACGTAACGCACTATACATTCAGTATAATGAAATTACAGTTCGACCACACCGTAACACGTCTCTGCCACAATCACACACCAGTGTAACGTGAGATACGTAATTACATATATGACCCATCGCCACATGTTACTCATGAGGTGCGGTCTAAGGTTTTGAGTATGAGTATACAAGCCATTCTTAATCAAATTTGGTCTCACTAGCACTGTCATCAACTATGACATCTAACTCTCGAGGAACTTGATGATCGGGGATCTTCCTTACATGATCATGGGGGTATTTGTGGGGTACTTTTCAAACTAATATGACCGCTTCCGGTTAAATTTACAATACTATTCACACTTTTGCCATTAAACATTGGCGCAACACAATCTTTGATGAGAGAGCATTTGGCACCATAATCATAATAAAATGGGTACGACTCACCAGTATTCATCAGCACACAGCTGGGATTGCCGACATAGCAAACGTGAACACGTCACTCACTGCTCGCCGTTGCAGCAGGCATAGGGCAAGGGCAGGTGGCTATTAAAACAAACCAGCACACGCCATACTTAGCTACCATGTGGCAAGCGCACGAGGCTAAAAGCACAGCACACGGCGTGCCGCACTCGTACTGCAAGCCGTCGCGCCGCACCAGCGCCAGCGAGACGCTGCGCCGCATCACGCACTCCAA